CAACATTCAGCAGCTCCAGCAGCTCCAGCAGTTGCAGCAGCTGCAGATGCAGATGCAGCTTCCACAGAACCAGCAGTTATTGGCCGCGCAACAGCTGGCAATTCAGAACCAGCAGCGGCCCCAGCAGCAGCAGCAGCCTCAGCAACCTCAGCAGCCCCAGCCCCAGCCCCAGCCCCAGCAGCAACCCCAGCAGCAACCCCAGCAACAGCCGCAGGGGGCACCGAGCGCCGAGATGCTGCAGCAGTGGCGGCAGGCGTTTGACACGACAACTGTGCCGTTTACGTACCGTGATCAGCAGGTCAACCTGAATCTGTTCACTGCACGCGTGCTGATGTCGCAGCTGGAACAGGCCGGCGATATTGCCACAACCAACGAGCTGCGCCAGGTATGTATGCGGATTATCTCGGGCGCACAGCAGGTGGTGGGCAAGGCGATTGACTCGGAGACCCTGCATGCGGTTGTGAGGGCACAGCAGCAGCACCAGCAGCAGCACCAGCAGTTACAGCAACAGCAACAGCAACAGCACCAACAGCAACAGCAACAGCAACAGCACCAACACCAGCAGCAGCACCAGCAGCAGCAACAACAGCACCAGCAAGGAGTGCCGGTGGTGCGTACCGTGTCGAATGCGTCGAACGGGCTATCGAACGCCGCTTCATCGCCGGCCATTGCTATGGCAGCGGCACCAGGTGCCCAGACGAAGAAGCCGACGGGGGGCAAGGGCAGCAAGAAGCGGGCGTCGCAGTCGCCGCTGACAGTGGCCCGCCCGGCGCAGAAACCGGCGACGCCGCCGAACGCCGACGCCTCACGTGATGCCCCTGCCATGCCGCGCAAGGAGTCAGTGTCGGCCGACCTGGCAATTGCACAGGTGGAGAAGGTGCGGCAACAAATCAACCAACACAAGGTAGAGCGGCTGCAACCCCGGGTGCTGTCGGAAGAAGCCAAGGCGGCGGTGCGGGAGGCGCTACCGGCGATCGAGCAGCTGGTGACGCCGCTGGTGTCGTCACTGCCGACGCTGTTCATGGCCATGCGCAACGAGACCTGCATCGGGCAGATCCTGACAATCGAAATGATGGTGACGGAGCAGAAGCGGTTGATACCCGAGGACCTGTATCTGGTGACACCCGAGCAGCTGAAGGACTGCCACACGGTACTGGTGCGGTCGCTGTCGATCATCAAGGAGTGGGCAAACAGCCTGAAGGAGACCATGAAGCCGCATGACGCCGGACCGCCGCAGCAAACCCCCATGACCAACATGCACCCGGGAGCGGTCACGGCCGATCCGGCGCTGGAGCCGTTCCAGCGGGCCGTCAAGCACCCGCTGGATCCAGCCAACCTGAAGCTGCCAGCCACAAAGAAGCGAGCCACAGGCAAGGGCTCCGCTGACACTCTGCAGCCACAGCTGCCCGCCGCCAGCCAGGAGCCGCAGCACATGGCTCCGGTGGGACCGGTGCTGCCGCCGGGCATGACACAGGAGCAGTTTATGCGGCTGCCGCAGGAGCTGCGTGTGAGCATTCTGCAGCAGCAGCAGGCGGCCATGATCCGCCAGAACTCAACAGCGCTGCCCGGGTCTGCGGGAGCAGCGGCCACGGCACCGGCGCCGACCGATGGCAACGCGGCCACAGGGACGCCTCTGTGGGCGGCGCTGCAGGGCATTGGTGGAGCCACGCAAGACGACGAGGACCTGGACCGGCTGAAGCGCCTGGAGCAGGACAAGTGGAACAGCCCGCTCGAGTACCTGGTGGGGGTGCTGGACCGGTTCACCAAGGGCGCCGAGAGGGCGGGCGTGGAGCCGGCGCCGATTCTGCAGCAGGCGTTCTGGCCCATCGCGCGCAAGTCCATGGCCAGCGGGTGGGGAGTGGTGGCTGCTGATGCGGTGCTGTAGACACTTTTTTCTTTCTTTGCTGGTTGACAAGGAACTAGCGTTCGACGGACACTTGGACTATGACATCTTATACAGAGGTAAAGAAAAGATAGTAAAGAAGTGCGAAAGCTCTGATATTGGCTTACGCGTCAAGCTGGCACAGGCTGCGGATTTTGTTGGCCAGCGCCTTGGCCATGAACTGCTGCTGCGCGAGCTTGCGCACCTGCCGCATGTAAATGTTAAGCGGCAGCTTGCCGTCGTCCAGCGACTTGCCGAGGTAGTACAGCACGTCGTCGGCTGCGCTAATCTCGCCCGCCAGGTCAAACAGCTGCTCGGTGGCTGCCGTCTGCGCCCTAAACACGCTGCTCACGTCGCCGACGCGCGCGGGCTCGGGGAACGCAGTCTTCTTCGCCTGCAGCTCTGCGACCTTGGCCTCCAGCACGCGGATGTTGCCCTCCAGCTGCCGCTGCGACTCCGTCAGCTGCCGCCGCTCCTCGGCAATCACCCCCGCCCCCGAGTTCAGGTTCGCCGACTGGTCCAGCAGCTCCTTGTTCATCTTGGCGTGCTTCTCGCTTGACTTCTTTACTGCCTCAAACACCCGGTCGAATATCGCCAGCTGGTATCCGATCAGCCGCTTCTGCGGGTCATCCACCGGGTCTGTGTCCAGCAGCGACGACCGCGGCGGCGATGCGGCTGCTGGCTGCACAGTCTGCTGGGGCACTACCGGCGATGCCACTTGCACTGCCTGTTGAGATACCACCGGGGGTGCTGGCTGCACTGCCTGTTGGGACACCACCGGGGATGCTGGCTGCACTGTCTGTTGGGACACGACTGGCGACGCTGGCTGCTGAGCCACCCCGTGCGCACTCCCTGCCTCGCTGCTGACTGAATTTCTTTGCGGCTCCACATGCGGGCTCTCGGGCTGCGCTGCCGGCGGGCTCAGGCTTGGAATGGGTGGTCTGCCAGGCACAGAATTGAACTTGTACGAGGGGTGTGCTTCGATGGCTGTGCTATTGGTCAGGCCGTGCTGAGCCGAGTCCACCGATATGCTGGCCGCCGCTGCCGTCACGCCCGCCAGCTCGCTTTCAACCGCCGACATGGGCCGGACAAATGCCGACTCCGGCTTCTTTGCCGGCTGCATCACCGTCTGGCTGGGCGGCTCCGTGGTGCGCGCATATACGGGCGGCTCCACCGAGAACACCTTGATGAGCTGCGCAATAAGCTCCACTGTCACTGACTCGCTCGACCAGCTGGCCAGATACGGGTGGTAGATCTTGCACTTGTCATCCACGTACTTGCCCGCCTTGACTATCATCGCCGGCGTCGGCGTCACGTAGCACATCGGCCGGTGCGTCGGGAACTCCAGCGGGAACCAGAACTTCACTGGGATATTGAATACTGCCCCGTGGTACGGTACTGGGATCGTCCCGTGGAAGCAGAGCAGCCCCTGTCGCCGCCCGTTCTCGTACACATAGTCTGCGAACGCTGGGAATAACAGCGGGTACTTGTCCCGGATTGCTGTGAATTGTATGAACGCCTCTTGCGAGTCCGCAAACTACAGAAAACAAAACCTGTCCACCGGTTAGTGCAATGCCTCCCCATGCTGCTGAGTCCCAACGCAATCTGTCCTGTCAAACTCCTTCGCTTACCTGCTTAGAAATATCCAAGAGCCACTTTCTAACTCCCTCTTCTGACATTGACCGGTTTGTGCAAAGGAAACAAAAATGAAATTAGCTGTGTAATAAAACGAACAAGAAGAAAGGCCGAATGCAGAGAGAAAAATAGTAAGAGTGTCGTGCCAAGAGGTCTAAAAAAGGTTGCTGAGCTCCACTACGTATCTTCTGGCAAGTCAGCGGTAGTGCGTCACGTGTTCAGAGCGGAGCATGCAAGCTGGTGCTGCCGTTCTTTTTGACAGCTACACCTTGGCTTTTTGACAGCCAGCCAAGCCGGGCTGCGCCAAGAGACAAGTGCATGCCTTTTTGTTGGCAGCAGCTTGTATATGTGTCTAGCTAGAGATATGCGTACTGAGCTCCGCACTGGCCGGATTCCATCGCAGAGGACCGGTGGCATCATCCACGGTGCTGTGGTTCCTGGCCCAGAAAACAAAGGAACGTAGCAATTTTGCCACAATTTTTTTTCAAGCAGTGATGGAGAAAAATTTAGGCTTTGATGCTCTCCCCGTTAAATCTTGCTCTCCATTTCAAATTCTCGTTTGCTTTGTTTTTTCTTTTCATTTTGTACAGCCCCCTTGCCAATGAGCGACTACGAGCAGCAGCGCCAGGAGCAGATCCGCAAAAACCAGGAGATGCTGGCAGCTCTGGGCCTGGACAAGCCCATCCTGGGCATCTCAGCCACAGACAAACCACGCACGGCGCGAGCCAAATCGCAGTCGGGCTTTACACGCACCTACGAGATCCGCGCGCGCAGCACGGTAAGATACTCTGATGACGCCACATACGAAGACGACGGGTACATGACGCGGCCACGCAAAAAGACCAATCACCGCCTTCTGCGTCTGCGGCGCAACGACGCCGGGCGTCGCATCGTGGGCAACCGCGTGTACGACTCGGCGCTGGGGAGCACATGCCACCAGTGCCGGCAAAAAGACCATGGACCCGAAGATCAAGTGCTCCAACAACTGCAATGTCGTGTTCGACACGCGCTGTCTGCTGATCCGGTACGGCGAGGATGCCGATCAAATCGACCATAGTACCTGGCAGTGCCCGAAATGCCGCGGCTGCTGTAATTGTTCGTTCTGCTTGCGCAAGCGCGGGAAGCGGCCCACTGGCCAGCTGTCAGTGTATGTCAGGCAGCATGGTGTACAGGCGGTCGAGGAATTGAAGGTGCCTGGGGTGCTGCAGCCCGAGGTGCTTGGCTCGGCTAGAAGGTCGGCGCGGAGGAGGATCTGGGATGGCGAGGTGTCGGATGACGACGGAGAAGTCAAAACATGGTCGCTGCGCGAGCGCAAGAGCATCAGGTACCAGGACAGCTATGCTTTGGATGACGATGACGATGAATTGTTTGCCGACTGCCCCGAATTTGACTGCATTGTTGTTATAGACCGGTCCCGGTCCCGAAGACATTTAGCGATTCACAATATTTATGCTTGATCTACATTACATTCAATATCTATTGCTCATACATGGGTTATCTGCTCCGCGCCTGGCACCGGCTTCTCCGCTTCCTCTTCGTCGTTGACCCACTGCGTGTAATCCTGCTCGGTCTTGTCAGCCCACCAGAACATCCTAAAGTACCAAGGGACAACTCCAGCCAGTGTGGTGAGAGCACCCAGTAGCGGTGACAGATAGTACGGGTACGGGTCTCCGCTGTCTCCACCTTCAGGCGGCACAAACGGCATGACCGTGATGAAGGCACAGAACAGAATGAACAGACCGTTGAGCGGATGGGAACGACTTGAATGTGCGCAGAGGATGGTGCGGTATCCTGAACCGCAGGATGATCGCACCCACAGCAGTAAGGCCGTAGAACAGCCATGTGCTCCACTGGACAAAGTCGACCAGAAGGTCAAACACCTTGCCAGGTGGCGGAGCCAGAAGGTAGATCATCGTCAGCACATACA